GGGTGCGCTGGGGGTGTGTTAAAACTCGACCATTTATCGTAGTAGCTTTGATGTTCGATTGATAAACTGTGCATTTCCATGAATGAAAACAGTAACTTTTTAACTTAAAATGTACTCAGCTTAAGTTGGCTGAGAAATAGGATTGGTTTTTTTATTTCTTCGTAAGAGAAGGTTAGTGCTCACAAAGTATATGAAATATTTGTTAATAATTTATGGCTTCTCTTCCTACGATGTATTCTTTAGCATGTATTTGAATTAAAATTTTTATTTTTCCATGTACTCATACTCTTTTACTTCCCACAAAGGTGTAATTCTTTTGTTGTCGTACTTTGAATGGCTATTGAACTTCAAATTTGAGTAGCTCAATGCTTAAACAACTTTCCTGCAATCAGGAAAATTCCTTGCAGATAATCAAGCTGCCAGAACCTGTTCTTTGCATTGGTGGATTTTTGCAGATTGAGCTGTTGGGTAGGGTTCAGAGACAAGATATGGATGGTTTATTTTACATATGGTTAGTCCCGGACCCATCTTTTTTCTGTTAAATAGTTTAATGCTTGTTGGGCCTGCTGAATTTGACTTTTAACCATGGGAAATAGAAATGGACATCAAGCTGTGTTCTTTGTGACAAGTCCATATTTGAGACTTCAGAATTGCATACTAGATTACTTGATTACTTCTTTTGCTTTGCACTTTTTTTCATTTTAAGTCTCTTAGTTACCAATTCAATAAAAGGTGGTAGGTGGTGTAATCTTCAGACTTAAAGAGAAAAAAAAAAGGTGGTGTAATCTATTCTTGTGACCAAAAAGTTATGTAGAGCATCATGATTGGCTCTTACTCTTTTCTGTACTTTATTGACACCTTGCAGTGTGTCTCATGTTCAAGTGGTGGGGCGATCACTGCCCCCTACAATTGGTATTGAGATTCTTGAACCATCGGGGAAGTTTTCATTGAAGTATGACTCTGGGGCTTTTGATCATACCTTGACAAGCTCTTCTTATGGTGGTCCTCCAGTCTCTTCTGTTGTGCCCCCATTGCCACCGGAAGAGATGTTGTGGGGACGTCTGGGAAATTTGGTGCAGTTTCTGATTCAGGGAAATGAACCAGATGTTGAGCCCCTTGAATGGGACGATGTGGACGATGATGAGGACAATGAGGTGGATGAGGGAGTTATTCTCTAGGCCTGGTGTATGTAATTTGATTCCTTTTTTCAGCTGTTTTTATCAACTTATCAAAACTTTTGATACTTCCAATGGCTTCTACACTGCTTGAAAATCCTTGTAAGTGAGGGGTGTTCATTTAGCTTTTTTATTTTAGTCCACCTATTACCGTGACAGACCTTCCTTTGTATTATTTCAATGTGACGTGGGAGATCCAACATATGTAGTAATCATCTTTACGTATAATAAATGTTTTCAGACGAGTTCTTAGTTTACCACTGGTCGTGGTTTAAATATTCAAGTCATTTTAGAGTTTTATCAACAATTTGCTTAGGTAGCTGGGATCCAATTTTTTCGGAATTGTTATGTGAAGAATTACAAAAGAAATTCTTTCTACAGAGATGTGTTTTTTGGGTGATCCGACTATAATGACTCGACTTAGTATGATTGATTTGTGTTGATACAGCATCTTTCAAATTGCTATTTATTGGGTGCATATTTGCTTGCTCATTCTTCATGATGCCAGTTTAATTTGAACTCTTACCAGTCATTGAGAACCTGTAGGATTGAAGATTTGTTGCGATCACTTATAATGTTCGGGTATTGTTAGTTTGCAGAGAGTATTTTAAGCATCTATAAACGAATTGCGTTTGAACTTGTGCTTGAGAACTCGTGTTTAGAATTAAACGAGTCAAACAAGTAATTGTTTGAGCTTGATTTGNTCATGATGCCAGTTTAATTTGAACTCTTACCAGTCATTGAGAACCTGTAGGATTGAAGATTTGTTGCGATCACTTATAATGTTCGCGTTCGTTAAACGAGTTATTGTAAGAATTCATTAGACACCAATTCTCAAAAACATTTCTGAAAAAAAAATGTTATCTTCTTTTCTATTCTTAAAAAAGTCCCCCAGAGAGTGTAGTCTTTGCAAAACATGGATTAGTATCATGTCATTTCTACAAGTGATTCACCATCAAAGATCCGAAGAAGTGGTATATGAGGACTTTGATCTTCTTGTATCAAAATAGAGGTCTTATTTAAACAACTTGGTACAACATAACATTTGAGTCATTTGACACCTAACAAAGGTACAACCTAATTGTATAACTACTAGATCTCAAACTCTTTTGAAGTTGAACAATTTTTTAAGCCTATTTAAAAAACGAACTCCACAAATTTGGCATAAACTCGACAGACTTAACTCGTTTATGTATAAATACTCAAACTCAGTTTAGCTCGAACATGTTCAACTTAAACAATTTTTTAAGCCCGTTTTTTTAAACAAACTTGACAGGTTCGATTCGAGCTCATTCAAACTCTTTTGATTTATCAGCCTATTGACAACCCAACTATGAGGTACTTCAGCAGGTGTTACAATAATACATAAAATGTGATGCATAACCTCTCCCCACTCCCAACCTGCATGTAAAGAATTTCTTTCACCTATTGTGTCACACTCATAGATGAGTTTTGCCTGGTTACATCAAATTGGAAACCTTTTCCTCATAACAATTCATTTGTCACCTACCTGTTCCAGATTATCTTATAGGTAAAAGTTTAGTGTATGAAAAACAACTATTCTACCTTTCATATACTTTTTGAATGGTGGATGGGTAACCTACATCTACTTGCAAGAACAAATGCAACAAGTACTAACTACTACTAAGGTTAACAAATATGCTATGCATGTAGATCCAACAGACTGCAAATTTCTGAAGAGAACAGGAGGACAAAATAGGTATTGATTATTACTATGGTATATGGAGGAGAATAAACTGAGACAATAGAGATGCTAGCTAAAGTGTAATGCTTATCGTCAAAATGCTCGAAATCATACACTAGCAGGAGAATATCTCCGAAGTCAATATATTATTAAAACGACTATGAAGCTTCTTCAGTAGAATGGGTTGTTCAACTTTCANAAACGCCAGATGCCACATAATTATCAACTAAACAGAAAGAAAATATAACAGAAACAAATATAAATCATATAAATACCTACGCAAAAGAAGTATATCAGATCAAATGAATACGGAATAACTAACTAACTCATTTAGCACAAAACAGGTGATACACAATCCAAACAGATTGAGTACAGAACTAATTTGTGTACCTGAAGTAGAAATCACAAATCGGAAGAAAGAATTAGGGTTCCTGAATTCTATATGTGCATCGTATACATGAATTTACATATACAGAGAGCCATATATAGATAGAGAGAGTTGTATTTACCGGGGGGAGTGCCGGAGCTTTTGNAAAAAAAAAAAAGCAGGTGACTTTGAAGCATGACTAGTCATGGGCAAAACTGCTAACCTATCACCATTCCCCAGGTTCTCCAAACCCGATTAAGCATACAAAAACAAAAGAAAATCATGATCCCACTTTCACACAAATTATGCATACAAAAACAAAAGGTCTAACTGAAAAATAGTGCGATTCTGAACAGTAAATTGTCATGAAAGCAAAATGCATAACCTCTCCCCACTCCCAACCATGAACACAGAAATAAAGAATTTCCTTCATAGAATAACTGTCATTTTGAACCGTGGGTAACCATGAAGACGAATCATCTGACCCCTCCCCTGGCTTCCCCTGCCCCAAATATGCATACTCTAAAGTCTGATCTTAGTTATAAATATACAACAATAATGTTTCACAAAGTAAGGTGAATATAAGGTAGAATGCTAACATTTCTTTTCATTTTGGTTTATGTATCTTGAGCAATTTAAATTGATGAGGAAAGATTATCATTTCTAAATGGCATGACTCCTTAAATCCCATCTTTCTTTTAGTAACTAGATGTTTTTTAACCCATGATATTGTAGATACTGGAGGGGGAATATGAATACATCATGGCAGTAAGAATTTGTGGGAACCTGATAACAAGAGATGAGAGAGGTAACAAATCCAAAGGCTCCTGTTACGCGGGGATTGACTTTCTTGGGTGCTAGTTGAAGCAACCCAACAGCAACCACTATATCCATGGCTGCTTTAATCAGGGCTAGAGACCTGTCATTTGACTTTTGAAGTTTACTACAGTACAGCTCATTCTGCAAAATTACAAATGCACCAATGATTTAGATGAAAGGAGGAAAATATCATAATATTTTACCTACTGAAAAAAAGAAAAAATCATAATAATCCCAAGTAAAATAACTGCAAACTGGCATAGACAAACCTTATACTTGTCAGAATCCTTAAGATCCTTCTCCAGCTTCTTCATTGATGCAGAAAGCCTTCCAAGCTCCCCGAGCTTAGGTAAGAAAGAGGGAATCACATAAGACAACCATTTATTGCTCGTAAGAAATGAAACAAGATAACCTCAAAAAAGAAAAGGATAAAAGCCATATGGACACAAAGCTGAACAAAAAGTGGAAAGCAACAAACCTCAACCAAGGTAGTACAGATTGAAGAGCCCATCCAACAAAAAAGAGAGATCCTGCCAATTAGGTCTGCACGTTCTTTGTTCTATTTAAAACCAACAAACATTTAAGTAACTTCTTGCTGAAATTTTCCCAAATAATAAATCAAAAAATTGAGGTAATATAAAAAAAGTTCTTTGGGTACCTTATATATGCCTGACCTACCGAGCCAGACGATTTGATCAAGAAACAAGAATGTGGACAATAATGCATTTTTGGACTGAAACGAGATTGTGGTCAGAAAGTAGAGAAAAAAAAATCAAAAGTTCAACGAAAAACAATTAGTGAGCAACCTATCCTTTACCTTGCCCAGCAAAACAAGTGGAAGCGGAGTTCCTTGAGGAACTGGACTAATAAGAGCATGCAGATCATTGACAAACTGAAAACATAATGGAATATAAAATTTGGTCAAAAATTCAAGAAAAAAGCAAAAAATAGAAAAATGAGCTGCAAAAGCAGAATCCTTTGACAGACGTCTCTAAGCAAAATCTTCATCCAAAGTTGATCTAGTATTCATTTCACAACACGAATAAGATAATGGAGTGTTCCGGACACCCACTCAAACAAATGAATGGATATCCCGGCAAAAGAGAGAGAGAACCAGGAAACTCTGAAAAAAATAGACCAGTGAATCAACATTCATCAGTCGTTAAAAATTTAAAATTGAACCCAACCTTAAAAAGGCGGAAAACTTTCCTTGCCAAGCTAGTTGATTTATCAACATTTTGGGCTGTTCCTGGCTCTCCATTACTCAAGTATTTTGAACCATATTGTATTGCCCTGCATATCTTGTCCCTGGCTTCAGCTTTGTTCAAATACAGAACCACAAGAGCAAGCTCTGCTCGGGTTGCATCTAGTGTGCTCATCTTTTCTTTGATCCTAAATACAACAGCAAAGTCAAGGAATCCGCTAATGCACCTGATTAACCTAAAATGAGCAGAACATATCATGACAAACATGCGGATTTCATGCAACATGTAAGCAAACAATGAAGCAAGAAGAATATCACCATACATAAAATGAATTAGGATACTTTTGGATAGAATCCTATGAAGCGCATAACCAAGTCTCTAACTCAGGCATTCATGGAAGTCCCTAAATAAAGGTAAAACTTTCTTGGAGAAGATCGGAAGTTAATTAATCATTCACTGAACTTGGATATCAGACATTGTCCTAATGACTTAAAGGAGTAAATGAACATAAACCCAAAGAAACACCTATTTTGCTAACTATATACTTCCTTACATTATTTAAGATAAACATTATTTTGCTAACAAACTGCATGAGAAGAAAGTAAAATTTATAACTTTCCAGAAATTAAGACCAGCAAAACAGAAGCATCTACTCAGCTCAGCTCAATGCAGTTGTCAAGGATCAAAATTTCGTTTCAAAATGACCAAATCGTCCAAAACATTTTCATTTTTAAAATGACCAAGACGAATCAGTGATGAAATTGAAATTCTAATACTTTTAGATGTTTCATAATGTTCTGAGGTATTTTGTAATGGCATTTGTACAAGTGTTTTGAAATATTTTAAGGTATTTCAAGATAGTTTGGTATATTTCGACTAATATTTTAGAAAAATAATTCTTAAATTTTTTATTTTTTATTTTTTCATTTTGTTTCCGAATCAGGTCGAACGAATCGAAGCATTTTCATTTCTGAGGTGACCAAAACAATCCATTGAAACAAAATTTTGATCCTTGGCGGTTGTTTAGCTTTATCCGAGCTGAATTGAGCTAATGGTATCCGAATCCACACTACTACCAAGTAGCAATCACATAACTCAAATTTCGTTTTATTAATTTTAATTCATTTTCACACCCAGCAGACAGTTTCTAACAATAAGAAGAAAAAAAAACCAATCAAATGAGTCCTAATCACAAAAAATAATTAATGTTGAAGCTACAAACCATTTCAAAATCAAACAAAGAGAACCGAAACGCCAGATGCCACATAATTATCAACTAAACAGAAAGAAAATATAACAGAAACAAATATAAATCATATAAATACCTACGCAAAAGAAGTATATCAGATCAAATGAATACGGAATAACTAACTAACTCATTTAGCACAAAACAGGTGATACACAATCCAAACAGATTGAGTACAGAACTAATTTGTGTACCTGAAGTAGAAATCACAAATCGGAAGAAAGAATTAGGGTTCCTGAATTCTATATGTGCATCGTATACATGAGTTTACATATACAGAGAGCCATATATAGATAGAGAGAGTTGTATTTACCGGGGGGAGTGCCGGAGCTTTTGCCTCGAAATCACAAACTCTCTCTCTCTCTCTCTCTCTCTCTCTCTCTCTCTAATAAAGATCCTTCTTCCTTAGCAGTCAGCTCTCCGCCTCCAGACTTACGAGGATGGATAATGTGTGATTGAATTGTGTGCGTGTGCGACTGTGTGTGTGTGAGAGAGAGAGAGAGGAGAGATTAGGGCTTGTTTTGTCCTCTTCAGGACGGGGACAAATATTTTAGAGGAAATTGCACTTTGTACTTCAAAGATTTAAAAATTTATATTTTACACTCTCACAAATTAAACATTTTATATTACACTCTTAATTGTATTAAAATTATTGTAATATAATCCTTTCACCAGTTTTTGTTGATATTTTTGTCAAATATTACCCCATTTACCTTGATGTAATAAAATAGAATGATTATAGTACAATATTTTTAATATAACAAGATATAATATGAAAATTTTAATTTTTGAGGGTTTAAAGTGAATATTTTTAAATCATGGGGTGCAAAGTATAATTTTCTCAATATTAAAATTTACCGGTCATGATAAGCATCAGGCGTCAGCCAAAAGCAGTAGAAAAATTGGGTCCCACTTTCTCAACTCGTGGTAATCTCCGTTGGATGTCTTCTCTGATCTGATCGATTGGCTGTGGTTTGCAAGTTGATTATTATAGAGTCAGACTGTTGATTCAGCTGGCTTGAACGGTTCTCCAGCTGCGTGTCTTGGATTTGACTCCTCTGTCACTCTCTCTCGTTTTTCTGGCACGAATAAATGAACATTATCCACGTCGTTACTTAAAGTATAAGCTTTTTAAAGGATAATTTTGCTTTTACCACTTATAGATTTTAATAATTATAATTCATCCATCAAAATTAAACAATCTTACATATTTATACGTTTAAAGCGTAGCAAAGTGATTAGTGTCCGATTTTTCTATTGTTAGAGCTTTAATAATAGGATAATATCAACTAAGTGAGAGTAAGACATTTTTTTTGTCTTTTAGGCTAAATAATTTTTCTAAAGCATGATTATATAGGGCTTGTTATTGAGAGGCGGTCCAACATTATCGAGGNAAATGACCAAATCGTCCAAAACATTTTCATTTTTAAAATGACCAAGACGAATCAGTGATGAAATTGAAATTCTAATACTTTTAGATGTTTCATAATGTTCTGAGGTATTTTGTAATGTTTTAATGNACGAATCAGTGATGAAATTGAAATTCTAATACTTTTAGATGTTTCATAATGTTCTGAGGTATTTTGTAATGGCATTTGTACAAGTGTTTTGAAATATTTTAAGGTATTTCAAGATAGTTTGGTATATTTCGACTAATATTTTAGAAAAATAATTCTTAAATTTTTTATTTTTTATTTTTTCATTTTGTTTCCGAATCAGGTCGGACGAATCGAAGCATTTTCATTTCTGAGGTGACCAAAACAATCCATTGAAACAAAATTTTGATCCTTGGCGGTTGTTTAGCTTTATCCGAGCTGAATTGAGCTAATGGTATCCGAATCCACACTACTACCAAGTAGCAATCACATAACTCAAATTTCGTTTTATTAATTTTAATTCATTTTCACACCCAGCAGACAGTTTCTAACAATAAGAAGAAAAAAAAAACCAATCAAATGAGTCCTAATCACAAAAAATAATTAATCTTGAAGCTACAAACCATTTCAAAATCAAACAAAGAGAACCGAAACGCCAGATGCCACATAATTATCAACTAAACAGAAAGAAAATATAACAGAAACAAATATAAATCATATAAATACCTACGCAAAAGAAGTATATCAGATCAAATGAATACGGAATAACTAACTAACTCATTTAGCACAAAACAGGTGATACACAATCCAAACAGATTGAGTACAGAACTAATTTGTGTACCTGAAGTAGAAATCACAAATCGGAAGAAAGAATTAGGGTTCCTGAATTCTATATGTGCATCGTATACATGAATTTACATATACAGAGAGCCATATATAGATAGAGAGAGTTGTATTTACCGGGGGGAGTGCCGGAGCTTTTGCCTCGAAATCACACTCTCTCTCTCTCTCTCTCTCTCTCTCTCTCTCTCTCTAATAAAGATCCTTCTTCCTTAGCAGTCAGCTCTCCGCCTCCAGACTTACGAGGATGGATAATGTGTGATTGAATTGTGTGCGTGTGCGACTGTGTGTGTGTGAGAGAGAGAGAGAGGAGAGATTAGGGCTTGTTTTGTCCTCTTCAGGACGGGGACAAATATTTTAGAGGAAATTGCACTTTGTACTTCAAAGATTTAAAAATTTATATTTTACACTCTCACAAATTAAAAATTTTATATTACACTCTTAATTGTATTAAAATTATTGTAATATAATCCTTTCACCAGTTTTTGTTGATATTTTTGTCAAATATTACCCCATTTACCTTGATGTAATAAAATAGAATGATTATAGTACAATATTTTTAATATAACAAGATATAATATGAAAATTTTAATTTTTGAGGGTTTAAAGTGAATATTTTTAAATCATGGGGTGCAAAGTATAATTTTCTCAATATTAAAATTTACCGGTCATGATAAGCATCAGGCGTCAGCCAAAAGCAGTAGAAAAATTGGGTCCCACTTTCTCAACTCGTGGTAATCTCCGTTGGATGTCTTCTCTGATCTGATCGATTGGCTGTGGTTTGCAAGTTGATTATTATAGAGTCAGACTGTTGATTCAGCTGGCTTGAACGGTTCTCCAGCTGCGTGTCTTGGATTTGACTCCTCTGTCACTCTCTCTCGTTTTTCTGGCACGAATAAATGAACATTATCCACGTCGTTACTTAAAGTATAAGCTTTTTAAAGGATAATTTTGCTTTTACCACTTATAGATTTTAATAATTATAATTCATCCATCAAAATTAAACAATCTTACATATTTATACGTTTAAAGCGTAGCAAAGTGATTAGTGTCCGATTTTTCTATTGTTAGAGCTTTAATAATAGGATAATATCAACTAAGTGAGAGTAAGACATTTTTTTTGTCTTTTAGGCTAAATAATTTTTCTAAAGCATGATTATATAGGGCTTGTTATTGAGAGGCGGTCCAACATTATCGAGGGTCGTAGGTGAAATATTTAACAAAATTCCATTAATATATATACTTGATTAATATACATAATATTAAATAATAACATTTAATAAATATTGTTTATTTTTTGAGATGCTAAAATATTAAACAAGCTTTTAAATTGATATTTTACTAATAAACAATTTTCAATAGATAATATAGCTAATTTATTCACTTTTTTGATAACATAATTGGGTGTAAATAAAATTTTATCAATTTATAATTCAAAAAACTTTCTTCAAATAGGATAAACTCGTAACGACATTATTTACAATATTCAATAAGTAATGCAAGTATTTGAAAAAGAATCCAATCTTTTTATGTATCATTATATCGTTGTTCTCATTTATAGTTTCTACATATGAAAGTTCTTAAGACTTTTTTGTAAAAATAAATTAAACTATAAAATAAGTCACCTTTTAAAAAAAAATTCAAGTTTAAGACCGTATTTTTTCAAACTTTCATCATATAAAGAATTTAATATTTTAAAACTAAATTAAGAGTCAAAAACATTTTATCTATTTTTAATATTTTAAACCTATATTGGATTAAAGGAATAGTATGATTTCTATTTAAGAATATTTTTCTTGCTGATAATTTTTTTTTTTTTGAGTGCTTCAGTTTCTTCTTTTTTAATATTAACAATCACTTACACTGTATGCGTTTTTGTGTTTATGTGTGTGAGAACTTACATGTGTCTAACATATTTTTTTTATTAGATGTTTGATACATTGAAAGAGACTTAGTCTAATTGTCTAAGAAATTATTAAAAGTAATAGAACAATTGTTGGACTCTCTTTTGGCAATGGGTCATTGTGTAATGTAATGGTAAAAATCTCTTTTATAATTTCATTAGGTCTTTTGAGTTCAAACCACCCTATTACAAAAAGCCTTCAACTTAAGATATTTGGGGGCCCTAGGCAACCACCTAAGTGGCTTATGCCTAGGGTCGACCCTGTTGTTATTGAAGAGTAAATGTCATGTGTAAGCATAAGTGACAGCAATCATCGATTGATAAGGTGTTTACACTCAAAATAGTCTAAAAATACGTTAAACGCGTGGCAATGGAGCCTACAAGATACAAAGTTGGGATTGCACAATCAACGGAATTGACATCCTTTACTTACACGACATTGTTGCTCGATTGGTCAAGTGGACTAAGAGGAGAGGTCACAACCTAAAGACAGTGAGTATGACCCTCTTCAATGGAGAATTGAACAATTATGAGGGGGGGCATATGAGTATGATTATTAACCTCGACCTACGATAAGGTCTCAAAGGCTTAGTTTGCTTGAGCGGACCTCCTAGTATGTGGCACATTGCCCACTAAGACGTGCTTGATTGGGGTGAGGAGAAACTCTTAAGGTAACTGAGATCATTTGTCCAGACTAACATATGAGATGATGAGGCATGTGAATTGATAGTTACAAGACTGAAACTATGTATGTTTCTTCTATTGGGCACCTTGACAAAGGTCTCAAAAAAAAATTCATAGAGGGAAGGAAGGACCCAGGTAGGAACGTGCTGGGGGGCATCGTGGTCTTGGTCCCACAATGACTAGTTATATTCATCGACCTTGGGAGCACCTCTTTGACCTTGGCTACTGCACCTTTCTCAGGGGCGCAAGTCTAGGCTGCATTCGAGGAAATATCATATCTGTCTAATTAATGATGGGACATGTGGTTGGTGGTGAATGGTCATCGATATCGCCACAGTCGAGGAAGTTGATGGTCAGTGCGGGTGTCAATGTGCAGAGACCGACAACCTTTGGGGCAGCTCGATCTATCCAGGCGTTGTGCTATAAATACTTGCAATAGTCGCCCAACACTGGATCATTCATTAGTATCCACAATCTAAGTTAGGCACACAAATTGGTAAGAGCATTTACCATCTCTAGATAGCTTCTGTCCAACTAGTTGATCCCTCCATTAATAGGCAGCTTGAGTTCCGTCCATACCATTCACTTATTCTATTTATCATTTTAACTACCTTTGACATAAACTCGTGTATCAACCTCTTTTAACCTCTTAGCTACAAATTCAAGATAAATTCAAGTTTAATAAGTTGGATTCAATTATGAAAACCAAAGACGGCCCCAAGTCGAGTACTACCTATTATTATTATGTTTGAGATTTTTTTGCCAAAGCTCAATTCACGAATTGAAAATCCCTTGTCAAGTACTGAATATTTTGAATTAGACTCAGATTAATCCGTTGAAGTTACAGCAGTAATACAAATGAAAATAATTAAGAGCATATGAAAGATATAAAAAATCCACGTCACATTAGCAATATAAAAAACTTCTTTTTAAGTCTTTGGTCCAATAATACTTCTTATCTTATAAAGACTTTACCTTTTTGAAATAAAGGATTCAAATTCCTTTCCCCTTTTCCTCCAAAAAAAAAAAAAAGCATTAAAGTAGCTCATATCATTTTTGAACTTTTGGTAATGCTCTCTCTTATCATTTCCCACATTATTAATCAATCAAAGATATCCCATGTTTTAGTGGTCATTTGCTTGGTGCTCATGGGTAATTAAATCCCATCTTATCAAACTTGATTGGGCCAACTAGGCACACCTCAAGTGCAGGTATAGTTGCATGATAAATTTAGACTATATTAAGTTCGTTTTTGAGAGGTATAACGTGTGCGATCAGCGATCTCATGATCTTATTAATGAAAATCTATCGAGATAATTTTTGAGTGTTCTCTTTTGTCCCAACCCCTTCATTAATCAACAACAAAAAAAAATTCCTTGCTAATATGAATAATAATACGTGATCATAGATCAATTAATTTTTAGTCATTAATCATGAACATAATAGAGGTTGGCAGTTCGCTTAATGTATATCATTTCTATTGCTGGATCTTAAAGTCGTGGGTTTAAATCGTATCGTCTTTCTCCCCTTTGACCAAAAAAAAAAAATCATGAACGTAACAAATGAAAATAGTTAAATAAACAAATCATATGAGTTATATTATTATTTGTTGAATAAAGAAGGTATAGCACAAAAAATACCTAACCCCATTGCTATGTAACAAACCATATCTCCAGTGATGTCATTTTGTTTTCTCCAATCATGGTGGTGCAAGCAAAACAGGAAATAAAAACAAATCTTTTAACACTTTTTAGCAATACTCCAAAATATTAAAAAAAATGCTTTGGCAGCTTCTCAGTTTTCAAAGATTAGGGTGTGTTTGGTTGCTTGGAATCTGCAAGAAAAAGTGGAAGAAATCACAGTGAGAGTTGCACCTAGATGCAGGGTTAGTGGATTCTAATCCGTTTTGGTATACTTTATCTCAATTTTTTTCGATGGTAGAACATCTTTTATAAATATACGGTACGTAATCTATTATTGACAAGAATCGAATAAAGATGTATAAGACGGGGATCTTTATATTGTGTGAATGATGGGTAACAATGAATGCAATTGTACAATCTAATCTGCAGGCATATATGTACATGCCAACCATATAAATAGCATGCCCTGAATCCTACGCAACTTTGCAAGACAACTACTAAGAAATCTCCAAAAGCAGTATTATAAATGCATCTGTATACCTGACAAATGGCCGGTAAATTCACTAAACTACTAAGTACTAATAACTGGAAGCCTTTCAAAAATGAAAAACCAGAGTAGCTCGGCTCGATTAACAGTCTTAGATGCACAGAGCCTAACATTGTTATTGGTGGATGATGTGTTCTCTCATACTGCTGAATGGCATTTCTCAAATCTGTCTTTCAAAGCAATATAGACACATCAACCAGATGAAGAATCTTCAAGAAAAAATGAAGACATGGTAACAAATATAACAGTAAACTTATCCATGGAGTTCCAAATGTATATAATTTGGATTTAGAGCTACAAAAATATTCGTTAAATCGATAAGTACCTGATCATTTTTCGAGCAATGGACGATACTGACAGAAACACTTTGGATTAGATGATGAAATATTGATTGTAGATTAGCAAGCTTGAGCGTCCAGTTCCATACCGTTTGCTACTTTGTTTCATACAGATTATGAAACAAAGATCATAACATTACAAGATATATATTCATTGTACAACAAGGACTCTAAAAACTTCCCTTATTTTCTGCCGAACAAACTTCTCAACTTCCCTCTTTCCAAACGCTCGAGAAGCTTCTTGGCACCCGGAATGTCCATCTCACTAAGCTTCTTGAGATAACCAATTGCTCCATAAGAAATCATCAGTTTCTTACACTTCTTGCTCGAGGAGAGCGAGGAAAGGCAGGAAACTGCATATTTTTTCGCGGTGTTTTGAGGATTTGGGTCGAGCAATTGGACCAAATTTGGCACGCTTTTATCATCCCTTTTAACCTCTCTACGATTCTGTGAAAGACTGACCAGGCTTGAAATGGCTTGTGCAGCAACCTCTCTTGCACCATTTGCTTTAGCCTCCAGCATCTTGATAAGTAGAGGAATACATCCCACTTCGCCCACCAATTTCTTCATTTCTGCAGCACTGCAAACCCGGCAAATTGCTGATGCAGCCGCTTGCTGTGCACCCAATGATCCGGATTTCAGCACATGAACCAACCTCGGAAGCAGACCAAGTGAAACCAAAACTTCCATCGAGACTGAACCAACCAAATTTCTTAACGCCTCAACCGCAGTTTCTTGTGGCAATGGACCATCAAGATAAACCAACAGGCTTCGAATTCCACCTTCTGAAACAACATACTTTCGGAGATTGTCATTGCTAGAGGTGAGATTTTGCAAGCATTCAGCAGCATATTCTTTAGATCCCAATAAAATTCCACAATCGACGAGATTGATCATAACCTTTACAATCCCTTCTTCAGCAAGAGCTTGCCTCACCTCTGGAACAGCAGATATGTTCTTCAGCGTACAAGCAGCCGCGGATTGAGAAACAGAATCACCAGTTTGACAGATCTCAATGAGGGGTCGAACCCCACCATGCCCGACTATTGAACGAGCTGTTTCTGCAGACATTGACAATCTCTGAAGTGAAATTGTAGCCCTCTCTTTACCTACTGCACTACCAGACTCCACAAGCCTTATAAGAGGTGGAAGAACACCTTCTGACACAAGCCAATTCTCACAACTCCCAGATTCTGCAAGTGAGCAGATTAACGTGACAGTCTTTTCTCTGATTCGGGGTGAAGTTGCAGTAAGCAATTGGACCAAAGCCGCAATATTGCTCCTTCCTAAAACGGCCAAAACATTTTTTTCATCCTCTTTCATTACCTCAACAAGGGCATCAATTGCTTTGTGCTTAGCCTCCAAGTGCCCGATCTGAAGACGAGCAAGCAATTCTCTTATATTGCTATGTCCCCCATTTTCGGGTTCTGCAGAAGTTCTAGCCACTGCAGAAGGCAATGTAACCTCACCAAGCACCCCGGTTTTGATCAAAAGCCCGCAATCTCGTAAATTCAAGTCCAGCTTCCCCGATAAGGCGTCAAGATCGCTCTGTATCCGAAGCTTCCCTTCATATCTCTCTTTTACACACAGCTCTGCCAATTCAATTGCTTCGTTCAGTGTCCTTGAAACTGCCTGCAATTGCTCCTCACAAAGAGCATTCTTTGAGAAACAAGGATGGCTTGACAAGTCCGATAAACGTGATGGGATCTGCTCCAGTTTCGAAATTATCATCTTCCACCTACCGAGGAACCCCTTAACCACCCTTGCCTTCACCAATGCCACTGGAACAAGCTCTTGGACTCGTGATAGCCACTCTTCGGCGGATAATGTTTTGGCCAGAACACCATGTCCATCATCTTCAACCATGATGATTTCAAAACCAACACGGCTCGCACCGACAATCACAGCAGGAGAGAACTGAAATTAACAAGACCCAAACCTGTAGAACAATGACCCAGATGAGAAAATATCTCAAAAATGTGGTCTTTTTGGTGCAAAATTATCTGAACATGGATCAAACACCTTGTCAAAGACCAAAACAATTCAAATTCAAACCAGCCAAAATGTTTCAAGAGATGACCCAGATGAGAAAATTTCTAAAAGAGATGGTTTAGGTGCAAAATGATTCCAGGGAAGTAAGATTTGGAGAAACCAAACCTTCAAAAGAGACCAGATGAGAAAATGATAAAGATGTACTGGGTTTCATATAAAATTAAAAGCTGTGGAGCAGGTTGCAATCATCAACCATTAAATATACATTATACACATTAAAATTACAATTATTTTTAAAAAGAGAGAGCTAGGATTAGGAGCTTCGAGAATGTGGTATGATCACAGATTGCTCGTTTACTGAAAACGAGACTAAACAAGCAATTACTAAGTACCTAATGAAGCCCCCGCGAGTCTCTACCCAAAAGCTTTATCAAGTGATCATCATCCAATGCAAATGGACATAAAAATATCAAAATGAATGCATAAAAAAAATGTTAACAACAGTTGAATAACAGCTGCTGAAAGTGAAAGACGGAACTTTCCAGCGGCTATCCCATAAGTGTCCAATTAAGGCGGTCGGCAGATCTTTTCTATTTACCAAAATGCCCTTTCACATGTCAACCAAAATCATCGATCAAAATTTCGTTTCCAATCACTCAAAAATGAAATCATCTAGTGAATATAATACCAAAACGCAATACAATCGGAATGAAAAAAAAATAATCTTAAAACATTGATCAAAACATATTGAAAATATCGGATATATACAGAAACATATGGATAACTATTGGTAGTAAGTATAACAAAATACAAAAGGAAAATATAGTGAGTTTGAGGGGGTAATTGGAGAAGAGTAATCTCCAACTTTACTTTTCAACCATTGAATCGTATACTGGCGGAAATATATGCCTGGAATTTCACTACAAGCTTTGGTGGCTTAAATTAAATCTAATCCAAGGGCCCAAAGCTCCAATAGTGATGGTGGGCATATATATACAGATATATTACTGATTTTGTGTAGAAAGTGAAAGAGACTTTGCTTTGAAGAGAAGGTATGAGTCTCAATCTACAGTTGTGCACTATAAGGACTGTATTAAATTCCCTCAAATGGGGCCAAGGCCAACTCTCAAAACATATCAAGAAAATTTGGTGTAATAAATACAAGAAAAACTGTAACTCTGTTTGATTTGTCTTTCTCCTCTCATTCAAAGGCTCGACCTTTAACACCCAACAACAAAATGCCACTCCAATGCTTCTGTAAGCTAAAAACGAACAAACATACGGCCGTCCACGTTCAAATTGTTTGTGACCTATGTGGATGGTCTGCTTGTGATTGGATCGAAGAAAATTAGTCAAGGAGCGGATCCGCAGGTCCGAACCGTTGAACCAAAGAAAGAAAAAAGAAGACAGATACAAATAACCCAACAAACGAAAATAAGTGCATAAATAAAGAGGGGAAAAAGTTCAAATATTTAAAGGGTATGTGAAGGAAAAGAAATCTGATTGTAGCCTTGAAGAAAGCAAGCAAGCAAAAACAACTTCAAGGACCAACCTTTAAGATTCAGATACAAGAACCTTGCTCTTTTTTTCTCTCCAGAAAGCAGCCACGATAGTTTGATCTTCAAATCTCTCTGCCTCAAAAAAGAAGGGAAAACTCACAAATCTAAATACAAATCTCTCTCTAGGAACTGCTACCTGGAGATGTTTCTCAACAATGGGAAATACCCACAAAAGCTTGATCTACGACATTGAGTCTACATGCTCCAGTCACTCTCTACTCCCTCTTTATCTCTATAAAGATGTTTTCGAAAAATAGCTTTTAAGATTGGAATAGCAGAATTTGATATAACCAGAAAGCTGTTTTTATTTCTTAATGGGAAGAAGAAGACAATCAAACGGTCGATATTTTTTTTAAGAAAAAACCAGAAGAATCATTTTTTTGAAAGCAGAAGAATCTTAAATTAAGAAGAAAAGTTTGAAAAACTTAACCAACTAAAAAAAAAAAAGTTTTAAAAGCTTACCAGAAATATGCTCGAGCTTTAACAGAAGCAGACAGAGCACATAAATAGCGTTCAAAAATCAAACATCGTTTTTCATATCTCTCTCTCCCCCCAACGTAGAAGAAAATGTCAGAGCTGGTCTCTCCTGTCGCCTTCTCTCTCTCTCTCTACAATATATAATTATCTGCATCTTATGTGTAGTAGGGGCGCCAGTGTGCGTGGCTGCGCAGTAAGAAAGGACGGGGATGTGATCAAAAAAAAAAAAAAAGGGGGCTTAAAAGTCGAGCAAGATATGAGATCGAACGGTTGTGATTGGGGATGTAACAGTGAATCTAACCGTTGGGATTGGTTGAAATTTGAAAGTGCTTTTTGATTAGTTTTACGTTACCGATGAGCTGACAAGTTAGATGTATACCATGCCACGTGTGACGTGGACACGGTTTATTTATAAAGAAAAATTACAATTTACATCCCCCAACTATGGCTCAATCTCAATTCATCGGTTCCTAAAATTGATACAGTCACACTATGTGTAATCCCTAAGACAACGTGGTCTCCCGCAAGTAAAGATAGGGGTCGACCGTGTTAGATTAAACGATTATGTATTAGATTAAATGAATGATGAGTAAAAAAATATAAACTCATATACAACACATTTAATAAATGAATAAAAATTTCAACACAAATACGACCCGTTTAATAAATGGGTAACACGACACATCTCGTTTAACTCCTTTAATTTTAAAAAAAAATTATATCAACAAATTTTAATAAGCCATTTTTCTTACTACCAATTGTATTCATTTGTTGATGTGAGAGAAAAATAAAAAAAATTAGTTTGTCTTTGTCATTAATTACTCCCATCTCTACTCCTTTATCTTTGTAACGACAAAGTCCAAACATAGAACCTCATAAGTTATTCATGTCCGATTTGTTAATTTTTAATGACTTAAACAAACTAATTTCAAATTTATTATCAAGCTTAAACTCGAGTTCAAATGATGTTTAAGGTCAAAATTTAATATAAATTTAAATTTATACCAACTTTGTTAGTTTTTGTTTTTATATTGTTAGCCACGAATCTTTCAAAATGTCTTAGTGAGAGAAGATTTTCAAATTTAAAAATAAACTAAGATTTTCAAAATTTCAAATAAAATAGTACCTAAAATAATGTCACAACGAATTGCATAATGACAAAATGATTTCAAAACTTTTAGTACGGCATATATTTTTACAATTATTCACGTATCCAAGCATACCTAACCTTTTTGATAAGTTCAATTAGTAGTCCTATTTGTTTTTTTTTGGATGTCGATAAAAAAAATTTGATACCGTCTTTCTAAAATTTATTATTTTAATAAAATTTTTTATAATTTTTATGGGTTAATTTTATAATAAAAAAAATTATCATTTTTGTAGATGTGTTTTACCAATTATTATGATAATATAAGAATAATAAAAATATTTAAAAATATGATAGATAAAGATATAATATTAATTTTTTTAATTTTTTTTTGGGTATAATAAACAACTCCATTTTTATTATTTGTGGCAATCATTCGTGGCATTTATGAAATCATGCTGGGAATTTATTAAGTCTAATTCAAGCCTAGAGAATAAGGGACCAAAATGATCTCCGAATTTTATTTTTTTTTTGTCAGATATTATAAAAGAGGAACGACAAAGTTCGAATGCCTGTTGTTTTCCTTCAACAACGAGAACGGTGAGGATTAGGTTATCTAATATCCTCAACAGTCTTTGTACTTGGTGGCTCCAAAACTTTAAAGCACTTGGCAAAACGACATCTTTGCTGTCCTATTGTGATGGGGTTATAATTTCAAGCGAAAATTAGGATAAGTTTCTTTAGATGGATTTGTTTAGAGATAAAACTCATAAAAAAATTTATTTAGTTATAAGTTTATTTTTTGATAAGTTTACTATTGTACCTTTATTTTTAAAAAAAACATAAACAACATTCAATTTGTTGTCTCTTTCTCAGACGGTAAAATCCTCTAACTCCCTCACTGTAAACCAAAATTTTCCTTTCGTTTAACCCTTGAAATCCGGCAATTCTCATCAAATCTTCCATAAATTCCTTTCATAAATATCGGTTATTATCATTACCCACACCAATCCTATTCAAATTTTAAAAAAGTTACATACCATAAGAGCAAAATCCGAATATACTCTTCAAAATTTAATTTGGACTCCATTGAAGAAGTTATTGTTGTTGTCTCTGCATTCAAATCATCATTAACAATCTTTGGGATTCATAAAAAGATTGAAAGGTATGTGATTTTAGATGAATGTTAATGTATATATTTGGATTTTAGGAAACTCATTGTCTGATGTGTCGTTCTTACTGTCATCTGGGTTTTTTATTTTTTTTATTTTTTGCATTAATAACATTAAAATTAAAATGGATTGTTACTATAATAAAAATGTTATTTATTTTGTTTTTGTCATTCTTTTTGATGTGTTTGACAGTTAAAATTCGTTGGTTGTGTTTCTGTGAAATATGAGGTTACTGTGTGAGGAGTTGAATAAATTTATCTCATAATTTAAATATCTTGATGTTATTGATCGGTATTGAATGTCCTAATTCAAGCATTGACAGTGTGCTACAATTGAGAATTTTTAAAATTTTCAATTTTAGAATTATATGTTTACTATAACCATTTGAAATTTGATATTATTGTGAATACAATATAACTTTTGGGATGAAATTATTCATGTTAGTATTTCTAATTTAATGTGCTATGTATTTACATGCAAACATTTTTGTGTTGCTTTATGCGTTGTTCAAGACATTCGAAAATCATTATTTCAAAGTAACATGAAATATATCATAAAGTAACATGAAATATATCATGTTACTCTATCTTAACATGAAAAATTAATTTCTTAATTTCAATGGATTGATGCGCTTAAGTACTGTGGATGTTACTATAANCAAAATGATCTCCGAATTTTATTTTTTTTTTGTCAGATATTATAAAAGAGGAACGACAAAGTTCGAATGCCTGTTGTTTTCCTTCAACAACGAGAACGGTGAGGATTAGGTTATCTAATATCCTCAACAGTCTTTGTACTTGGTGGCTCCAAAACTTTAAAGCACTTGGCAAAACGACATCTTTGCTGTCCTATTGTGATGGGGTTATAATTTCAAGCGAAAATTAGGATAAGTTTCATTAGATGGATTTGTTTAGAGATAAAACTCATAAAAAAATTTATTTAGTTATAAGTTTATTTTTTGACANGTAACATGGGGACTCAATGGATTTCAAATGGAAACAATTGTATAATAAAAAATGTAGTTACTAAATTAAAAGTCTATTATATAATTACATGTGTAAATTTTTTGTTGCTTTCTTCGTTATTCAAGAAATTCGAAAGCTATTGGTTCAAGAGTACATTGAACCTTTTCATGTTACTGTGTGATAACTAAAAAATTGAATTCATATTTTTAATGTATGCTTGTGCTTTGGGTACTGTGGATGGTACTGACAAATTAATGTTACTGTTGNCAAAAAAAAAAAAAAAGGGGGCTTAAAAGTCGAGCAAGATATGAGATCGAACGGTTGTGATTGGGGATGTAACAGTGAATCTAACCGTTGGGATTGGTTGAAATTTGAAAGTGCTTTTTGATTAGTTTTACGTTACCGATGAGCTGACAAGTTAGATGTATACCATGCCACGTGTGACGTGGACACGGTTTATTTATAAAGAAAAATTACAATTTACATCCCCCNTACATTGAACCTTTTCATGTTACTGTGTGATAACTAAAAAATTGAATTCATATTTTCAATGTATGCTTGTGCTTTGGGTACTGTGGATGGTACTGACAAATTGATGCTACTGTAGACATGTTGCTCATCAACTCCCTTTTTGGTTTTTACTTTTAATGCACCATATGTTATTTATAAAGAGTTCAGAGGTTATTGTTTGATTTTAAATTTAAAAAAGGAACACAATGAATTTACAATGGAATTGTGTATTGAAAAATGATGTTACCGAATTGTGTGTGTTTTGATGTTACTATATTTACATCATGTAATTTGGTGGAACTACTAATGTTACTTTTTCACAAAATTTTTCATAATTGATTTATTTCCATTATGTTTGGTATCATGTTACTATAGTATGTATGTTACTATTTTGTATGTTACCATATGCTGTTTGTTACTATTTTATATCATGATATTATATGTTTGTGTAGGATATTGATGTTACAATTGTCCAATATATTCATATTGATATTACAACATCGTGCTACAGATTGATGGCAATTACAACAAATAGAAAAGAAATTGAAATCAGCACAACTTAATGCTCTACGAATACATATGGTGACTACATTCATAAACCATAGGAATGCATGGACTGTTAAATATTGCAAAACAAGTTCAAGATTGAAAAAAAGATACCAAAAAAATAAAAATTGGTGATGTTGTAAAGCTATTCATTCTTTAGCTACTTGTAAGCTCGATTAGAAGTTGGTTGTAATTGTTTATTGATTTATACTTAGTTTAAATGGAGTATTCAAACATGTAGAATTGTGGTTTGGATGTTACACCTTTATATTAAATTGATATATTGATGTAAGTTTGAAAATTTGTTTGTAATGAAATGTTTGGAAAATAAAGAAAATTATGTCCAATTTGTAAGTGTANTTGAAATCCGGCAATTCTCATCAAATCTTCCATAAATTCCTTTCATAAATATCGGTTATTATCATTACCCACACCAATCCTATTCAAATTTTAAAAAAGTTACATACCATAAGAGCAAAATCCGAATATACTTTTCAAAGTTTAATTTGGACTACATTAAAAANGTGTTGTATGTGGAATTGATATGTTAAAATCCATTGTAATTATTCATTGTCAAGTGCATTTATAATATTGTTGCACGATTGGTTACTGTATGTAATGATCACTAAATAGTAACCTTGACAGTAACATTATTAGTAACAAGGAGTCTTGCGACTACTTCTAT